GTTGAAAAGCTTGTTAAAAACCCTTTAAAATGATATATAATTTGTTAGGATTTGTCCATGGATAACTTGGAAATTTAATTAAATACAATCGGTCTTGGTTGGCCATGATAATTTTCGAAAAAAGTATTTTTCTATTATATCTTCGTTATTTTAAGTGATACGTATATCGAGTTTGGGATCATTTTCAATGAAATGAAACTCTTTATTAACCTGTATTGGAAAATTATACCGTGTATTTGTATTAACCGAGATAGTGTCGGTTTTGTTGATTTTATGTCATAGTGCGCGGGTGTACACGCGGAGGTATCCCGACACCAAGTCGGCTAATTGACCGACCGGTTGATAAGAGAACCTAAGTTACGGTAACGCGGGAACTGGGAGAATATTAAATATTGCTCGTGCTTATCTTATTTCGCAAATATTTAACATACCCCAATATCTCGGTAGTGCTTTATTGCTTTTCGGAACAAACAAATCGGTTTGCCTCAAACGATGCGGCGTTTCCCATCCCGAAATTCGATCTTCAAAAAAATGTTTTATTGCAGTGCGTTCTTAGAAAATGTGTTCAGTCCATGTGTACAAATTCGAAGGTGTTTTCTCGGAACAAGAAGCACGTGCTGAGCCGGGCAAAAAGGAAGTAATGAAATATGGAGAGGATACACATGGTTTTAAAGGTGCCGACGCACAAAAATGGGTTAAAAATATCAAAAGGGCAAGTCTACCCACTACATTTTCTTTACCATGTAAAACGTGGCCAAAACCATTTAAAATAATGTTGTTTCGTTCATGGATAACTCGATGTTTTATTTAATTACATTGGGTCTTGGTTTGTCATGATAATTTTGAAAAAAATGTATTTTTGTTAATTTTACACCGTTATAAAAATCAGATTTGTTAACATGAGTTTTTAGTTTGTTAATTTTATTTTGTAAAATTTTAACATAATTTTTTGTATAAAATCAGGGTTTTTAATTATTTTAACAAAGGAAACCGAAATTTTTTTAAAGGTAATATGAATTTTGTTAATTTCAAACGTTACAGATTATTTTGTTAATGTTTAACAAGTTATTTCGTTTAAAAAGTACACGTGATTTCAGGCAGTCAATCAAAACTTTTCCCACTGACACATCAACAAGTTCAACTGACTTCAGCGTCTGCAACTTATGTTTCTGCTTTCTTTATCTAATTCGTAACGTGTTCGTAATAACTGTACGGAGTGTTTATAATATATTACCAGAAATCTATTGCTTTTCGGATTTCTTATACCTATTTAACGAGTGTGCAAAGTGCGAAGTATACGAAAAAAGATGCCATGTGATACAGTGAAGTGGGTTGAAGTTACTAAATATGCGACTTAAAAAAACGGTCCGTTTTTTTTTGTTTTTTTTTTCAGGTTTTTTCATTGTTTTTTTTTTCAAATGGTTTTTTTTCTCTTATTTTAGGTTTTCAAGATTAGTCCCATTTGCCTAATTTTTTATGTTTCCAGTCCAGTTTGTGGACTAAAATTAGCCACTACCACCGAATTAACCAATTTGGTCCTAAAAAAGTAACTTTTTTCATGATTTTTCAAATTCATGTATGGAATTTTTTTTTCAAAAAAACAATAGCAAATTCTTGTAGGACATTTATTCATTGGTGGTTAAGTCAGAACATTCCGTGGACCAAAAAAGAAAGCCAAAAAAAATACGAAATTTTTATTACGGTGTTCGTCAGGATTGAGCGTTGCACGTTTTTTATCTAAATATCTCAAAACTAGAAACTTCAAGATTCAAATTGCTTTTTTTACGGCTCCAATACGACCATTTTTAACGAAGATACAGCTATCCGAAAAATAGCAAAAAATTTGGAATTTTTTTATCCTTTAATTTTTTTTATTAATGTAGAAGTTTTACATTGCTATTGGTTTCTTATATATTTGGTAGTTTCCACATATATGTGGAAACTACCAAATAATAAGAAAACAGATTTTTTAGTCTCGGTCAAAATTTTCAATAATGAAAAATGTAATATAATATTATTCTACTTTTCACTTTATTATTAATATGCATTTTACTCAAAATTTCGTTTAAAAAAATTACTCCATTTTATTTCCATGTTATTTATTGACAGAATATGCTTTATTGCAGAGGATTTGAGAAAAGAACAAAAAAACCGTTTTTTCTAGTTTTTTTTCACATCTGAAAAAAACCCGTTATTTTACATCTCTAAGTACTGATAATTATATTGTACCAAATTTCTTTATAGTTTGGTATTATTTTTTAAAAAATTTAACACTCCATTTAACGGTTTTATATTTACCTACTTTGCTTTCTTTGCTTGCAAATTAATAATTGTTTTGCAAAGCAAACTGCTGCGCAAATATTTTATCTTAATTATCATTTTTGCTCCAACACTTATCATTGTATTTACTTTTGAGTTGGCATGATTGAACCCATTTTTCTCGCCACAAAGCACTTCTCGGTGCCATTCAACCGCCAAACAATACACAATTATTGTAAGAGCCTTTTCCTTAACTTAATGCGTCTCGACTTTATCTTTTCGCCTATACAGACAGTCGAAGTTTTTCAAGTGCTTGCAAAAAACGATTTTATGATGATTTCGTAGACATAATGACGGTGAATCACGGTATACAATTTAATTCAATTAGGTAGGTTCTGTGGGGAGAGATATAAAGAGATCTGTGCCATATAGACGATCCTTATCGTTTTACTTATATAAAGGGTATCTCGAAAATAGTGTGCGGTTTTTAGGGCCAAAAATAGGAAAAAAACTTTATGCCCCTAAGGGGCCTACAGAGCTCCTAAAGGGGCGCCCCTGAAGATTTATTATTATTATTATTATTTCTAAAACGTTTTAAGATAAATCAATATGTTCTCGGGAAATATATGTATTTTTGTATTAATATTTCTTGTTAAATAGAAAATCAATTTTTTTAATTTGTTATTTTATTTTTATTTGAAAATGGGGCATTTAATTTGATGTTCAACAAAAACTTTTGTACCGTTTTAGGTATAAAACTTGCAAAAAAAAATTTCAAAAAAAATTTAAGGCTAAATATATCCTGTTTAATACACTCGTAATTAAAATTTTTAAATTTTTTTGTCAATTTTAAATTCAGCATAAAAAGTTATGTAACAAAATTTTATTATTTTATTTTAAACCGTTTCGTATTGCAAGCTATTTTCGGGACACCCTGTACCTATAACAGGAGACATAAAAAATGTGTTATTTAAAAATGCCAAAATATCGATTTTTGTTGTCAATAGGTGTTTCTTTTATAAAAAGTTATTTATGACCTATAAAATCATAAAAAATTCACTAAGAGATTAGTATTCTTTTCATCCCAGTAATTGAGCAATTGACCTTTAACGAAAAGTCGATGCTTATGGAGGGCCCATTAGAAGCTTTTCATTTTGCCACATAAACATGTTATCCATTTATACTAGCCAAAATAATATATGGTCAAAGGATAATTTAAGACAATTTTGTTAAGTTTGAACCTCAAAGATAACAGTACTGACGCGTTACCGAAATGACAACTATTCTGTAATTATATTTACAAAAAAGAATAGTAAAAAGACGTGTTTAAGCAAAAAGTCTATTTTTTTGTTGGGCAGCGTCAAATTTCCTATGTGCCGCGACCTCTATTACCCGATTGCCTGCTAACCCGTTTTCCACGAACTGACCTATAAACTCCAACGAGAAATGGGCGCGCCCCAAAATTATGTTTCCCTACTGAATTTAATTAAAATTTATGCATTTATTTATGTACATAAATTTATTCTAAAATTGGTTTTGTTACTTATAAACACATTGTATGTTCATTGGATGGATTTTTTGATCCACTTTTTAATGATATATCCTTAAAATAACGCTATTTTTTAACAAAAACAATATACATCTAGTTATCCATGACTTCTTGCAAAAATCGCTATATCTTCTCAATTTTTTATCACTACCATATCAAGTTGCACCTCATTTTAAAGGATTTTTTGCACTCTAAACAACCATACCAAAATAATGTACATGGTATTTAATTTACCCTGTCATTTAATTTTGTGGACTTGAAAATTCAAGCTAGTTAGCTCTTAAACTGACAAAGCACGTAACAACTTAGACAAATGGACAATTACGTTAAACTTTGCAAGAGAATCCGGGAATTTATTACTGTTATCAGGACCCAATCGAGCGATCTAATTAACTTGATAATCCTGTAAATCTGAACAAAATCGGGATGGTAAAACTTTAAGTGACTTTTTTTTCTTTGCCTTTTTACTTTGGTTATGCTATTTTGTGCACACATTTTTTATTTTCCATAACCTAGTTGGAAATTGAAGAGTGAGAAAAAACAAATTTGCATTTTGTTATTATATTAAATTATATAATTAATTTTGTTATTATATTAAATTATATAATTAATTTTGTACCCAGAATAAATTATTAAAATCTATATTTACTTAGCACATACAAATATGTTTTTTTAGTATACTTAATAGGCAGAGAGCTGTCACTTCATATAAATTAACCGAAGCAAATATAATTAGATTAAATTATTTATGATTTAATTTGGGCTTGACTTCACATTTAATTAGAAACCATGATGCAAATTTATATGGTATAAATGTGTAATTTTTGATGTATGTGTACTGAGCACATTATAAAATTTAACCATAAATATTTCCAATTACAGAATCCATTTTAAGTAAGGACATTATTATAAATTAAATTAAATTGATATGTCGTTATTTTGTATTCAAGTAATACGTTTGAAATTAGTTATGTTAATATTATTTATATGTATGTGCATATTATATTTTAAACCCATGCAAAAATTATTAGTATATGTTACAGGGTGTTCCAGAATTTATTGCATTAAGTTACTGCACAGGTCTACAAAATTTCAACAATGGAGTGTTAGTTGAATTTTGTAGACCACTAACTAAAACGCAATATTTTCTTGATGTTAGTAAAAATTTCGTTAATCCACACATATTTCTTACCAAAACTTCAATGTTATTATTTACAGCGGGCTGAAAGGTAACTTCTACTTTTTCGACTTGTACGATTTTATCATGTTCGTTTTTTTTATTCGTCGGCTCGATTTGGGAGTAAATCCCACTTCCGTTTGTTTGCGTATGGGAGTTCTTTTGGGAGGAAGTGGAGGAATGCCTTCTTTCAGAGTTAAAAATTTGCCAGCTCGTGTCTGTGTACCTCTGAGCAGCTTCCTGGAAAATTTGAAGAAAATGGTAGGAACAATTTTTACAAAAAAGTTTGTTAGTAAGAAATTTGTTAGGCTTTATGTTGCACTTTTTAGTTAATATTCTTAAATAGAATTTTTATTCAACTGACTTTTTTAAGGTTATAAAAAGTATCATCTTAATTCGTTGTAATTTTGGTATATATATACAGTGTGTTTTCTTTTTGTTGTGGACACCTCTGTTACTTTTTTATTTAAGGATTAAAAACTGAGCATAATACAAACAAATTCTTTAAATCCCAAAACTCAACGTACCACGATTTAAAAAGTAGACCAAAATTCAGGTTATGCATTTTTTATTGTAAAACTGAACATATCCAAAACTTGATTTAGTTTTTCAAAATCACAAAAAGTTAGATTAAACTTTATTTTATTAGCAAGGGTGTGCTATTTTCTATTGTATTTAATTTTTGACAACTGTATAATATTTGTTGAAGTTTAAGCGGTCCTTTAAATAAATACAGACAATTATTTTATCTCCACGCGGTCTATAATTTAGGCCGATAAAAAATTTTATGAGGCAAGTAATTTGTACGATTTTTTCTCGCTAGAGGTATTGTTTTGACAAATTAATCCTTTTCTAAGAAATTAACGTACTAAACTGGTTTAATTTATTTATAATAAGCATTCATTTGTTTGTTTTACTGTTAATGTTTAATATTTTTCTTTAAATTATTGTAAAATTAAATATGAATAATAAAACAAAAAGTGAGGTTAGGCAACCAAGAAAACGCACTATTCTTTTTCTACGATTTAAATTATCTTCAAGTTTTAATTTGCTTTAAGTTTTCAGTGAAATTAAATGTTAAACACAGCTTAAACATTCCAAACTACCTATTTTATAAATAAAAATCCAAAAAATTTAAATTAGATACCTACCTATTTATTACTGCTTCTAAAAGCAATAATAATTATTGTACATTTAATGTAATCTTTAGCTAATAAATAAATGAGATTCTAAAAAAGTGAGGTTAGGCCGCTTTGATGTTGAATTAAATTGACCTATATAAAGTGCTTTGAAGATAAAATGTTGTATGCCATTCGGCCAAGAAGTGCATTTTTGTGCTTCGCTCAAAATGTCAAACCTTGAGCTTAGCACAAAAAGCCTTACTTCTTAACCTAATGACATAAATAACTATTATTTTTAACTTTTTGTGATTTCGAAAAAAAACAAGTTTACTAAATATTTTTTGATTTTCATCAAATTTCCGATATAGGCATTTGGGATAGTACTGATGTCGATGATGGTGTGTCAGTTTTACAATAAAAAAATGCCTAACCTGTTTTTTAAATAGTGGTAGGTTGTGTTCTGGGTTTTGACCCATTACGGTCAGTTTTTAATTCTCTGCAATGGAAAAAAATCCGGTCAAATGAAAAAGGAAACTGATGCAAAATTAAAACACCACTTTTTCAAAAATCTATAAAACTTAAATAAAATAGTTTGGAAAGTTCTCCTTTGGATATTTTGTATCCTAAAGTTTGCTAAACAAGTTTGCCAAAGGAGGTTAGCGAGGATGTAGTAGGTTCAGAAAAAGTGGTGGTTTAATTTTCCCTTAAACCAAATTAAAACCGAAAAATTATCAGGAGGTAAATTTTGCTAAAAATAATTTTTCTACAAAAATATGAAATCAAATCTTAAAAATCAGTGGCGTACACATGTTTTTCCACATTACATTTTTTTTTTATTTAATTTATCAATGTTTTGCACATGTACATGTTATGATATAAAAACACTTGATAGTGTCTAGATTTATATGCGAATAAACAGTTTTACAAACAAAAGGCAATAATGCAAATGTTTGCCATTTGCATCAACATTTTGCTGTAAACACTGAATACCAATGTAAATGTGCAAATCAACGGTTTTGATCAAAATATGAATGTGTTTGTCGGCAAAAAGTGAATTGCTTTTACCAATTAAACATGTGTTTATTTCAAAAACGTGATTTAAGTACGACCTCAGGTTACATCAAGGTGTAATGCAATGCTATAAAAGAACATTGTTGGGATAATATCGGTGTAAGATTATTGTTTTGAGATTTAAGCAAGTTTTTTTCTAATATTTTTTTTTAAGAAATGATTAATACATCGATGGTTATTTGACAAAACATCGTAAGCGACAAAACCTAAATTTTACAGGAAATATTTTTTTGTGTGGGAGCTTTATTTTTAAAGTTATTTATCTTAAAACTGGTAAGGCATTATTTTATTAATGTAGAATTCAAATATTTAAGTAAGATCGAATCCAATCCAAAATTTTCATTAAATTTTGTGGCATACGATATTTTATAAGAACATCTTTAGGAAAATGTAAAATTAGTCTTGTCGCTTAAGTTACATTTACGTTACTTTGTGGGATATAGATTTGATGATTAATTTTGTCAAAACATCGTTAGCGACATTTATTTTTTTACTTTTATTATTAAATATAAAAAAAGTACAAAAAAAATAATTTATAAAATATCACCAACGATATTTTGCCAATGTTTGAAAATGAAATTCTACATTAGCTTTCTTTGAAAAAAACGAACGATTTTTATTCACAAACGAGTATCTAACCTATGAAGCCTACACAAGGAGCCCGAACTTAATAGGGGAAATTGATAAGTTGTACAAATTAAGTTTCTTTTTTTCACCACCAGCGTTTCGGTACAAATTAAACAATTGTTTCAGAATAAACGGAACACCAGCGCCCTCTTATCTTAGGAAGATTCTTGTTTACATGATGTTAGGACTTCTTGTGTAAGCTCCATGATCTAACCCATGGTACCATGATCTTACCGTTATAAATTTAAGTCAAATTATTTGACGCTATAACAATATACAATTACTTCAAAAAACACTTTTAACGAACCACACTACGTAAAAACCATTTTAATAAGGATAACTATAAATAATGCAATGAAAAAAGAAATTATACGCTTTTGATCAAATAAAATATTGTTTTAAAACTTAGTAGCAATAACCACGATGCAGGTATACTCACGAATAAACTGTTTAGAGCGGGAATAACGCCTTGATAGATCAAGGCGGGAGCACAATATTATCGTAAGCGACACAATGTTAAATCGCAAACGCCATGTCTCGGAGTTGCTTACGATTATTTGTCGGGAACATATAGGCGCTTACGTTATAAATCGGTAACAAATTAAAAAGAAGAGGCGCTTACAATAGTAAAAATATTCAAACTGACCAATATTAGATTCCAAAATTGGGATAACTATTATGTTAACATGTGCAGCTTATGGTAACTGACACTTTGATAAAATAAAAAGTAATTCAACAAAATTGTCGCTTACGATGTTTTGTCAAATAACCATCGACATTTTGTCAAGGTAAAATTTAAATGACAAAATTTTAAAAATTTATAGCAATAATAGAAAATAGTAAAACATTTCCCAATCGTTAGCAAGGATTTGAATATTAACAACGACATTCAATCCTGCCATTCCTCCTAGAACACCTGCTGTTTAAATTCCGTTTAATTTTCTCAACGAGATGTCATTACGCGTCGAGCAATTTCACGCGAGCGCAAACAAACGACGTTGCGTCGCTCATTTCAATAATTCAATATTATGATGCAGATTGATGACAAACAAAGAACAAGTCTGTGTCTGTTGCTGAGTACGTCGTATTTGTTATGCCCGTAGAGATGTTGGTGCTTTGCTTGCTTAGTCTTGTAAGCGAATGGAGAGTTTTAATAAATATTATACAGGGTGACCCAACTAAAACCAAAACAAAGGAATGTTCAGGTAGTAGGCAGAGATTTAAAAAAAAACACTGAAACCCTTCAAATTTAGTTTCGAGGGGGACATCTTTTTTAATAGTTGATGGTGACTTTAAAATATTAAAAGGCGTTATGCACAAAATTGTATGTTTGTTTGGAAGTTGGTGACAGATATTTTGAGCACTTAATAGATTGATGAACTTTGTTCTTCTATTTTCATTGTTTTTTTGCCAAAATATCCTTACATGTACTCTTTTATGGTGCATTTGTAACTTCAATTTTAAATATATCGAAAATGAATTCATGAAACCTTTTAAATAAGGTATCACTTGAGGAGGTGCATTCCAAAACTAGACTTATCCATAAAATCGGTAGTCTCTACCGAAAAAAAATCGGTTCCCTCAACCGATTTTTATCGGTAGCAGCTACCGATTATTTTCGGTAGAGTCTACCGATTTTTTCGGTGCAGGCTACCGAAAAAATCGATTACCAATTTTTGTATTTTTTTAGCGAGAAGTTAAATACTCGCTTTTTATTAAATAGAAAATAGTATTTTTTTTTTGAGGTATAAATAAATTTGAAATACAAAAATATTAAAAATGCTCAAGGAGTAATTTTTATAGAGATGGGAATCGGAAAGTTTCCATTTTAAGGAAACTTTCCGTTTTGGAAAGTTTCCAATTGGGAATTTATTTTAATTTTGAAAGTTTCTTTTAAGCTACCGGAAACATTCCTTGGAAACATTCCTTGGAAACTTTCCTTGTTTTTTTCATTTAAATGTCAATTGTTTAACCGCTGATTTTCGTTAAGGCCATGATCCAAGGCCAAGAAACTTTGAATAAGAATTTAATTTGTAATAATTTAAAGCAGAAGAAGTATAAATAATGTAAGTTATGTTACATATCCTCAATGAAGCCGGATTATTCAGCATCATCACAAAAAACTTTTTTAAAAAAAGGTAAACAAAATAAAAACAATAAACAAAGTTAAAATCATTCTTACATTTTTGTTGTTTATTTATAGGCATAGCACAATGCCAAGAAAAAAATCTAGTGTTTGGAATTATTTTTTACTTTACTTTTTACTTTTCAGTATTCCTATATATTAGTTACTTTGTCCCTTTTAATTTTTTTTACGTAATATCTAGGATTTACTAGCAATGAATTTCTAATAGTAAACATTTTATTTTTATTTTGTAGGTTTCGGTATACAATAGGAATATTCCAAAGTAAAAGATACTA